CCACCCACCCCCCTCTCTCTCTCTCTGTCTCTCTCTGTCTCTCTGTTGCTGTCTCTCTGATATATGGTCTATTTTGTCATAGTTTGATAATGACTTGTTGGAGGACCAGAATGTTATCCATAAATCTCTTGAGCTTGAATCTGCATATATATCTGTGTTTATCTGAAGGCAGCATAAAGGGAGCCAGATTTTGGAAGGGCTGTGACAGATGCCAGAACAGTAGGCAAAAGCTGGCAAAACATTGAAGAGAACCAAATTCCTGAACAAAGTATAAATAAAAGGGTTAAATAAATTGACATGGGTTTGAGATGGCCAGACCCAGAAGAAAGAATATATTCCTTCCCAATTCCCATACATTTCCTATACGTTTCCCAGTATACGTTTCACTGTGTATGTTCCACTCTGCTTAATAGATGACTTTACATCTATTCCTGGTCCTCCTGTTTTCCTGTCTTGCCATTCCTGACAGTTTACTCAGGGTATCTGTCCTGACAGCCCTTTCCTGATCTTGCCCATCTCCTCAAGACAACCCCGGGTTTGTAACCAACAGAATAAGTGGTAACTGAAGGAAGGAATAGCTGGGGAAAAGAAAGGCCATCTTGGAACATTCAAGAATAAAAAGAAAGGCTGAGAGAGGTGAATGCTGACAATAGCCTCAGTGCCACAGCAGAAAGGAAAAGACGCCTATAGAAGAATCCAGGAGAGTCTCTATCCTGAGCTAATTTGTATGCAGGCTGAGAAAATTACCTTGAAGCAGCTAATCCTACAGGAATAAGGACTAAACCTGTGGAATGCTTTAGCTTCAAAGGGGAAAGTGCTGTCATAAAGCATCTGCATCTTTTTCCGTTGCAAGGGCTATTCTGTGATTTCAGCCATGGGTTCACAATTTAAGAACAGCAAGACAACTGAATGACAAGTGTGATCAGTAACATCAGTTTTGGAGAAGGAAAGAATGTGCACTTTTTTACTTGAGGGGTTTTAATTGTTCTTCATCATTGCTTTTGTGGTATAATTTGAAAACTACTTCAGACCCTTGGCAGTCTAAAAATGTTTAACTGAATAATTAAATATTAGGTAGGTCTCACTGTCTGAACACAAACATCCATTGTCTCTGGAACTTGTTAGCAAGACCTGCATTTCCTACAACAATCTGCCTACAAGCAGTAAGTTACAGCTCAATATGGTTTCATTTCCAGAAAATTTTTCTGACATTGCTCAGTGTAGCTCACAATTGTCAGCTGCATGCAATTCATGGTCAAAGAGGCAAAGATGGCAGAGACCATCTGGAA